TGGAGGGGAGGAAGCATTTAAGATGTTTCATCGTTGCTACTCTATACCCTGACTAGCTTGTCTCCTCCCTGCGACCCTTCTGTAAGGGGGTGTCCTGTTGCCTACAGATGGGCTTTGGGTCTCCACGCTGCACTCACCCTCATTTACAGTGATAAGATGTTTTGTTCTTTGATGCCTGATACCTGGTCCCTTTGGCACCTCGTGGTCACACAGGCTGGTGTGCTTCTTCCATGTGGGTGTTGATGCTTCTGAGCTAGATGAAAGGCCTTTCTCTTTTTTACTGCACCATCTAAATTAGAAATTGAAATTTTATAGAGGTAGATTAGGACTGGAGGTGTTTTGCTTGTTTGTTTTTGTCAAAGAATCAAGGACAGAGAGAATTGTAGATAATAGAGCTCCAGTTGAAAGAGAGAGGAAAAAAAGAATCATAAATAGAATGCCTGTGATTTGAGCAAAGTATTCCCACTTCTGACTTACGGGAAATTCATTTTAAATGGTCAGAGCAGTTTACAGTAGATTAAATAGCATTTATAGGTTCTTAAAGGAGCCCTGGTTGCATAGTAGCTAAGGGCTTGGCTGCTAACCAGAAGGTCAGTGGTTTGAACTCATCGGTCACTGCAGGGGCAAGATGTGGCCGTCTGCTTCCATGAAGTTTTACAGTCTTGAAGATCCGAGGGGCAGTGTGACTCTGTCCTGTAGGGTCACTATGAGTAGGGATCGACTTGATGGCAATGAGTTTGTCCATGGTGCTCTCCATCCCTCCTGTGTGGACGGTTTCCCTTTGTCTCCCTTTCCTATCCCTCCCCGCCTCCTGAACTGTCAGCTCGGCCACATGCTGCCGTTTTCATCGCATACGGCTGATGTTTCTAATGAACATGTACCTCCGTGGTATTACTGCTCACCTTATAGCCTGTCGTTCAACTGAAAGTTGAGCCAGGAGTGTTGTTTCGGGGGTTCCCACCAGTCTCTGTCAGAACTGAGTTACAAACCGCACGTAACCTTTTATGTGCTTCACTGTAGCCTTAGCAGACATGGGCCTGGAGTGCCAAGGAACCTGGGGGATAAGGTGTTTTGAAAGGCGGTGGTTCTAACCCCCCAGTGATCTCACCACCTTTGAAGCATTCCTCTGTCTTCTGTTCCTTCTATCTAGGACTATTGCTGGGAAGACCATGGCTACTCTTTGGTAAATCGCCTTTATCCAGATGTGGGACAGCTGATTGATGAGAAGTTTCATATTGCTTACAATCTGACCTATAATACAATGGCAATGCACAAAGATGTTGATACCTCAATGCTTAGACGGGCTATTTGGAACTATATTCACTGCATGTTTGGAATAAGGTTAGTCTGTTCTCTTATGATCATGAAGATAGATCCTTTTGGTCCAAGCTATTCAAGTGTTTACACACACACACACACACACACACACACACACACACACACACACGAGGGGACGTCAAAATGTTTGTAGAAAAGTGGAATTCTCCCACGAACTTTTTGAAGCCACCTTGTGTGCATACATTCACCACCCTTCCCCTCTCAGTGGTTTATTTGTATGCTTCTAATACTTCAGTGGGCTGACAGACTGCAGTGCAGTTTGTTTCCTCTCTCCTCGCTAGACAGGAGAGAGAGTGGGCTGTTGACGAGAGTGAAAGACCCTGGCAGTCTAGGAGGGGGATAAGAAGAGTAGGCAAGAGGTCCTAGAGCACAGATGAAAAGAGGCAGAACCCTGTCACCAATGTCTTTGGTATCTTCTATCTGTGTATGTCCTTTGTCTAGATCTTGATAAACCTCCGACACCCTATTTTGGCCTTCTGGGAACGCAGTACTCTCAGATTTCCCTTCTGCCTTTTCTCCCACCCTGAAGAGTACACCTCCCCTTTGGTGCTTCATCAGAACTCCTGTGTACTAGATAGACATTCTGCCCCTAGGCCGGGTAGGAAAGACCCCACTCTCATGCGTGCCACAGACTCCATGCCACAGCACTTTCTGGTGATTTTGGCAATACGGTCCAGCTTTCTCTTAAATACCCATTTTATAGGATTTGAAGACTGTTTGGCCAGGCTACATACTGACTTTTGCCTCCCACATGGTTACAGGACAAGCTTTAGCGGGAGAGTTCTCTGCTTTGTCCAATTAGGAGGCTCCAGTGCCCAGGTGTAGAATCCATCTCCAGAGGCACAGGGCAGCTGAGACATCGTGTCAATCCTGGGAGGCTGTCTATAGTCCATTCTTTCCAAGGCCACCTCGTTTTCTTACTTTATCTGACCCCCAAAACTCATGGATTCACAAATAAGACAATTCTAGTTTTATCTATATTTTTCTTTGTAATAGCATTGATGAATATCAGCTGCTTCATTTCAGCAATATTCATAAACTCCATTTCAAGCATTTGTTCATAATTATAAATATACACTATTGCTTGAGACCCAGTGCTAGAATTCCATGTTATGAAATTTCTGGATGATTGGCTTGAGCAGTGGGAAATACTCTGTTCCTGTCCTACCTGAACTCTGCTTTTTACCCCTTTATACCAGCGGTTCTCAGCCTTCCTCATGTCGTGACTCTCATACAGTTCCTCGTGTGTGGTGATCCCCAACCATCAAATTCTTTTTGTTGCTACTTCATAACTGTCATTTTGCTACTATTCTGAATTGGACGACCCCTGTGAAAGGGTCGTTTGATCCCCAAAGGGGTCGCGACCCACAGGGTGAGAACCGCTGCTTTATACTCCACCCCTAGTTAAACATGTTCAAGCTTTTTGGCATCATTTAGGGGGGTGGGGATGGGTGGGCAGCCTACACAGGGTAAAAGAATCAAGCACTTAGTATCAATGTCGATATACTATCTGCATGAAGAAGAAAGCACTAAAAATATAATCTTCACTTTATTTTAAAACAGATATGATGACTATGACTATGGTGAGATTAACCAGCTATTGGACCGTAGCTTTAAAGTTTATATCAAAACTGTTGTTTGCACTCCTGAAAAGGTTACCAAACGAATGTATGATAGCTTTTGGAGGCAGTTCAAGCACTCTGAGAAGGTACGTTATCTATTGTGGCTTATTTAGTCTCTAACCCAGGGGTACTTTTTTCCCCCACCTTTGCCCAATTTAATGGCTGTCAAATCCTTTCCATCACCCTTAACAACCCAAAGAAGCCTAATCTAGGACCGCTTGGGAGGGAACCTCCTGATGATGCTGGAGACAAAGAACAAAGGTGGAAAGATGAGTGGGCTGCTGGCCCATCAAGAAAGGTATTGGCATTGCTGATACCACTTAAGAAAATTATTTTGCTAGAGGCCTCTTTAATTGTAGTTAGGTAGAAAAGTATGGTCTGATGCATCTTTATAGAAATTACTAATGGGTGATTAGATAGGACAATTTGGTATTTTATCAGAGCAGTGTACATTTTCTGTAATTTTAACCTTAAGGTGAAATGTGATCTGCTATCAATGAAATGTCAAAATAGCTATTCAAATTGACATCAGATAGCTTTTCTTTTACTGAGGTGCTGATATTCTACTAAACCCAAGAGTTTTATCTAAGTCATTGGTTCCAAAACTTATTTTGCCTTTCAGGAAAAAATTAACTCCTGGTCCCCACCCCCAGCAATGAAACCCTTTTGGACTATAGCCCAGAGTGAAGTGTTAAGTGTCAGCTTTTGCAGCTCCTCTGGGTCATTCTGGCGCCCCGCCCCAGGGGGCAGGGTGACCCACTTTGAGAAACACGGGTCTAAGTTATACTGGGACACATTTGAGAATTTACTTATTTTCGGTGTTTATTAGACGTGCTGAAAATCCATGACTGTAATCCTTCTAATTCTGCTTTATATAACCTTATGTTTTACATTCAGGTTCATGTTAATCTGCTTCTTATAGAAGCTAGGATGCAAGCGGAACTCCTTTATGCTCTGAGAGCCATTACTCGCTATATGACCTGATAACTTTTCTCCATTAAAGATGATGGGATGATCAGCAGATAAAGTCTTCGGGGGAAGGTACAAAGCCCCAGGACCAATGGTAGATAAAAGAATTCAGAATCCATTGTGCCATGATTCCTTTAGTTTCTGCTATTCTACTGTGGAAATGCCGCTGCTGGCACGAGCAGTGAATGCTTGGCAGCGTCAGGGTTAGAGCTGTGAAGAGAGCTGCCGTTCACAGTATTTTGCTTTTTGACATACAAGATGCTGTATATTGTCTCCATACAGCAAATAGTAACTCTCCAAATCCTGTTGCTTTTATGTTAAATAAGATAACAAGAATTGGAGCATGCAAAGATTGGGACTTGAATGACGTCGTAAGCTTTATACGTTTATACGTTAACGACTTTTAGAAGATCTTGGTGCTGCTATTCCTGCGGGTGGAATGAAAAGAATGGCTGTTTCCAATTAAGCTATTAGTAATAAAAGTGAATACTGCTACTATCTGAGCCTACATACCGAATTTGTGTGGTTTCAAATTAAACTTGCATCTTGTTGTTGTTGTTGTTTGCATCTAAACCATAGAAATACTACAGCTCAGCAAAGACCACTCTGATGGTAACAGCTCGTTTCTTTCACTGGAGTTGTATAAAGTTCAGAGTTACGGGATGACATGAAATTGCAGTGATGTTCATAAAGATTTTCTTTAAAAAGCAGTCTGAAATGAAAGCGTGTAAATTACAAGAAAGCTAGCTATCTTTGATATACTGTTTCCCGAGATCCTCTGACCCTGCAGGGCAGCTGTCACGTGCAGTCTGTTGGTTGCCAGCACCAGGGTGGCGGGAATGTGTCTGTAGACTGCTGCGCAGTCCCAGTGTGCCCAGCCCTCTGTCCTGCACCTCCCTGGGCCCCACTGTAAAGGTTGTGCAGCTCCTTGAATAATAAAGCTGAAATGATTTTTAGTCAGGTTATCTAACCGAATTGACAAAAATGCTAATTTGTTTGAAATGCAAACAGGTTTGAAAAAAATGTATTAAGTACTTTGTATTCTGGAAGCGTGAATTGCTTTTGAAGTCTGTCAGTATTATTGGTATTTTTCAATAAAGAATACTTTTTCTCCATTTGTTATTTACTGTCTCAGTCCATTAAAGAGCCAAGACTTAACCCTCAATAACAATTCTGAGGCTCTACGATTTGGGTGAACGTGTACAGTGCAAATTGGTTTTTCAGTCAACAATTCATACATGTTTTGGTTAGTGACATTGTAACAGCACTCTTCCAACTTCCTCCCCTGTTTCCCCTCAGTCCTTCTTTGTTCCTTTCTGCCTTCTGAGCTTGTTCCTTGGGCAAATGCTGCCCTTTGATTTCATGCGGCTTGTTCTAGGGAGTGCATACCTCTGCGGTGTTACTGCTCACCTTATAGACCTCTGTTCTTCAACTGAAGGTTGACGGGGCACTAGTCTTGAGGGATACTGCCAGTCACTAATCCGACCAAGCAGCCTGGTCACTTTTCACAGTTTTCTCCCAGTCTACACAAGGACTCCTAGTGTGACGCCTTTCCAGCTGTCTGCAGTAGTAGCCGGACACCATCTAGTTCATCTGGTCTTAGGTTCATGAAAGCCAGAGCGCATGTGGCCCATTACTACCATAGAGTATTTCCTCACTTGTTTGATTTTCTTCACTCTTTGGGGAGAGACCATTAAATGGCTGCTCACACGGTTTTAAGACCCCAGACCCAGCTCACCCTAGTAGGATATAAAACTATGTTACAGCAATTGACTTTGATGTCTCCCAAGATTACAGTCCTGAGCCCCAGGTGAATTTACTTTTAAAAACCACATAGATTCACACCTTAATGATGCTATTATCAGATGAGAGACTAAAGTTAAATGCTAAACTCAAGTCCTTTTGGAGGCTACAAAGAGGAATGGACCTTCAGAATCTTATCTAAGACCGTTTTTATATTGAAAATGATGTGTGGTGTGCCTCTAGTCCGCTTTGAATTGAGATAATTTTATTAGAATTCAGATGGAATTGTTAGAAGCAAAAACTCATTAGAGAGACTATAAAACAAAATAACTTGTGAAAGAACTAGAAATAGCTGACTTTAATCCAAGCTGTTGCAATAACTGTTACTCATCAAAATATTTATTGAGTTCAATCCAGTACCTAGAGATTTATCGTGTGTTGAAAGCTTGGTGATATTGGGGTTTGCGGAGACACAATTTTGAATAGGGACGGCACCTGCCCTCAAGGATCTAGACTCTTAATGAGAAGACAAAGCTCTCTCCTTCGATGTTAACAGCCATTAGTTCAGCCCTGGCTCAGGACAACCCCATATGCCACAAGAGGGCCATCCCTATGATCACATGGGCCAGACTGTTGTTATCCACCGGGGTTCTCACTAGCTAATTTTTGGAAGTAGTCTCCAGTCCTACTACTAGCTCATCTTAGTCTGGAAGCGCCACTGAAACCTGTTAAGCTTCAAAGCAACACCGAACCCGCCACTGGCCGACAATGCACACCAGGTGCACTGAGTAGGACTCAATCGGGGTCTTTGCGAAGGTAAGAAGTCTACCACCAAACTGATAAAAACCTTAAACTTAAGATTTGTTCATTTTTAAAATTTCAATCAATATGTACTCTTATTAGAATAACCAAAATAGTTCTCAAGTCTTTTCTAATGACTTGTTAGCTTAGTGTGGTCCTGCACACTAAACTGGCATCATGCCTTTCCCTACTTCTGTTTATTGATGGGTTTTTCATCATAGTAACAGAGTGAACCAACCACGAAGGCCACACAGGATACATTTCAATGTTTCCTCGTCCTTCTGGTTTTATGCCTCCCCTGAACTTTATGCAAAATTTCTCATAGAAGTTTAATTAGCATTATGGCAATCACAGAACAAGATCAACTAGAATTAGTCCACAAGCTTATAAGCACTTAGAAAGCAGATGTTGGAAATTGAGATTCTGAATGGGTTGAAAAGTGTTCTTATATCTAAAGTAATAAAAAGCAGGCATGTCATACAAAGTGTTTTTTGCAACACCTCCCAGTTAACAGGTGCTTCCTGTTACTCAGAACATTTTCACAAAGATACACACACAGGGTTTCTAATGTTACTGCAATCTTTGAAATTAGTCCTTTCTAAAATAATTGGGAAAAGTAAAATAGAATATTTATTACCGGATATCACAACCCTCCCCCATGAAAGGAAACATTTTTCTCCTAAAATAATCATGAAAAGATTTCTGGGTAAGGTTTCTAGGACCTGACTTTTAAAACCTGAATTTTAAGAAACAAAAACAAAAAAGTTTTTTTGGTGAAAGCTAAAGAACTTTAAGAGTAAACCAAATTTTAACTGAGTAGCTCTGAACTATAACATTTAGATTGAATTTCAAGCATTTTTCTAGAATTATTTATTTTTAACTTGAAAATCCAATGGAGTTTTCATTCTTCTAGTAGTTTAGCCATTCCAAATTAGGTGTTGTTGTTTTATTTAAGATAATTTTATTGGGGGCTCTTACAACTCTTGTAACAATCCATACATCAATTGTTATCTCCAAATTAGTTTTGAGACAATTGATAGATGGGAGATAAAACTTGGTGAAACATGCTTTCCATCATTAAGGTGCTGTGTTAGACAGGGTTCTCTACAGAAAACCAGATTGCTGATAATTTATATATATATTATATATATATATATATACACACA